TATGATTGACTAACTGATTGACTGATTGGCTGAGTGACTGAATGACTGACTGACTGATTAATTGAGTTTGGAACAACTGAAGACAGATCGTACAACGCCCCCAAAATCAAACTTTGATATCATCATCATCATCATCATCATCATCATCATCATCGCCATCATCATCATCATCATCATCGCCATCATCATTGCCATCATCATCATCATCACCCATTGCACGCACTTTGTATATATGTATATAAAACTGTTCAATTTATATTCAATTTTAGACTTCTCTCTCCCTCTCTCGCTCTCTCTTTCCCTCTCCCTCTCTCGCTATGCTCTGTCTCTAACTCTTTTGGTTCGTCGTTTCATTTGCTTTTCATATGGGAGTAGGTCAGTTCAAAATTTGCATATGCCTTGACTGATTTTCGTTTTTGATTTCTTGCTGATTTTTTTATTCATATTCGTTTCGTTTCGTTTCGCGTCCCGCTTTGCCTTTTGCTGCCACGCCCAGTTGCATTTATTGCCTGATTTGGGCAACCTCTGCCTCTGCCCCCACCCCGCACGTGCCGTGCGACGCAACTAAGGCGATTACCTTTCAGACCCGACGGCAATTTGTTTTGGCTTTTGTTGCCAAATTTTTGCATATTTCTTTCTTTATCTTTTTGGCTCGAGTGCGTGGGACTCACCTTTTGACACTCGCAATACGTTTATGCAAAGAGATCGCCTTCACATTTGTTGTAAGTGACCTGAAACGGAGCACGGATGAAAGCGAATCAGTGTTTTAGCGTATTCAATTCTTAAAGCTGATGAAAGTGGAGCTCAGAGCCAATAAATATTTCAAGCAATCAATAATAGACGAAAGTCTAATCAGATATTGGCTTATTAAAGGGGATCCTATGACATAAATAGACAGCAAATGAATGGCTTAATAAATGTGTTGTGCTTAAAGATATATAAAAGAATAGACAGAGACGGAGAGAGTGATCTATCGATCTATCGAACAACTTATCGATTCTTGAACTTCCCCTAACCAAGTCAGCTCTTCTCTCTACCTCCACGAACTCGGCTATACAAATACTCGATGAGCACTATCACTTTAAACTATTTGAATCGGAGTCTTAGCAGGTCAAGAGTTGAGTCAATAAGCCCTATCATCTATCTATCTATCTATCTAATCTATGAGTTCAGCTATAGCTAAACTCCTATAAAATGTCTCGGGCAGTGCGCGATCCGTTAACAGTTAAGATTCTTTCGTGTGCTGAAAATGCAGCCAGGTAAAGTGTTCGAGTGTCATCTAAGTTTCCACTGAAAGAGTTTTTCCTTTCAAAGTTCTTCAGTTGTGCCTCCTGCTGCTGCTCCTGCTGGGCTCTGGCCAGGCTCTTGGCGAGCTCGGCTGCACCTCGGATGGCTTTTGCTTTTGCACGGGCCATCAGGAGGGTGACCTGGTGCCGGATTGCACAGATTGCAGAGCCTACTACAGGTGCGGCGCCGATAACATCAAGCATGAGCTCTGCCCACCTGCGCTCATCTTCGATATCCAGCAGCTCGCCTGTGTGCCTGGCAAGTGTCCACGCTCGGACGGCGAGTGCGCCATTCCCAATGTGACTACTACACCTACACCTACACCTACGCTCACACCTACACCTACACTTCCTCATCCTGCACCACCTAGCAACTGCCTGCAGCAGGAGGTGGAGTGCAGCTTCCATGGCCAGATTCTTCCACATGCCGAGCATTGTCGCTTCTTCTGGACCTGCGTGGAGGATTGCCCAGTGTTGGGATTCTGTGAGCTGGGCAAATGGTTTGACCGCCAGAAATTCGTCTGTGACTTTCCCAATAATGTCCAAAACTGTCCCGTGGGCAGGGACTGAAACTGCAATAGGCAACTGCAGCAGCAACACTGGCGGCAATTGCAGCAACGACAATAGCAACAGCTGAGACAACAATAACAATAACAAGCAACAGCAACAACAGCAATAACAAAAGCAACACCAGCAGCAGCAACAGCAACTACATTGACATGAACAACTTTAACAGCAACAGCAACAACAACAACATTGCGTTAATATACGCAAATTGCTTGACACAATTTTTATTTGCCAGTGGGCGTTATGCGTTGGGGTGGTGGGCGTGGCAGCTGCTCTTTGTGGCTATTTTTTTATTTTTATTTTTTTTTTTCATTTTTATTTTTTATTTGTCTGTTACTATTGCTACTTACTGTTGGTGTTGTTGCTGCCTTCGCTGCTGTTGTTGCTGCAAATTTAGCACGCAACTAACAATTTTAGCTGCTCCAGAAACAACAACAACAACAACAATAGATATATRGACACACCTTGAGGCAAAAGAAACGAGAACTGATACAGAAATTATGAAATTTGAAATACCCTAACTTTTCAGCAAATACAGCAGAAGAAAGCTTAAATAGAATTTTACACTGCAAATATGAAAAATGATAACAAAAGATTTGCTTATTTTTATATACAAATATCCAGAATATAGCCTATATTTGTATAGATTATCAGAAAACTTTTCTTGTATACTTTCATATCAATATATAATTAAGATTTTATACCCAAATATATATGCTTGCATCACAATTTTGATTTATATAATTAAAGCGTTTCATGCAAGAGATTTATAGCTCATAATAGTTTCACTTCAGCTATCAATACAAAGCTCAAAAATCTGCTAGAAATGGACTAGATTTCAGTTAGAGGCCCCAGCTGTGTGAGCTACCTTAAGCTGTTCGCAGCAACATGCATAGAGAAGAGCAGCAACAGCAGCAGCAACAGCAACAGCAGCAACAGCAACTGCAGCAACAGCAACAACAATAATAAAATATAACAAACTTTCACCCAAGCCGCAGCATTTTGGACAATTTCGTAACTGGGTAAACAGACACACATACACACTCACACACACACACCTATAAATGTGCTTGCAAATGTGGAGTGCATAAAGTGCAGCACGGCGACAGCAGCGACAGGTGAATGAACGACCTCAAACGAGGTCAGCAACAACTGCGGGCCAAATTATGCCGGCGGATTGCAGAGTGGGGCAGCGGGCAACGAGTCGACGGGCGTTAGTGTGGGGCGAGGGCCCGGAAACGTTGGGGCTGGAGCCCATTCATGCGCACAATAAACCCAAAAAAAAAGTAGAGGAAAAATCAACTATATGCAGTATGATTATGTGAATGCGACGTTTCTGTTGTTGTTGTTGTTGTTGTTGTTGTTGTTGTTGTTGTTGTTCAGCAGTTGATGGCTGCTTGGCTGGCAGTTGGCTTCGGTTACAGCTCGAGCTTCGCATGCTAATAGCCGTAGAGTGAACAGCCGGTCAACAGCAGCAGCAGCCGTGGCAGAGGCAGAGGCAGCACCGACAGCGGCCCCACATTTGGATGACCCAAATCCTGAGCAGGCAAATGGATGGCCAAATGGAGGAGGCTGTGAAACAAGTTTTGCCTACACACAGCTGCCTCTGCCTGCCTCCCTCCCTCTCTCTCTCTCTCTCTCTCTCTCACCCTCTCTCTTTCTCTCACGCTCTGTTGGGTCATTTGGCTGCTCTAAATCACTTAAGATGCTTTTAGCAGGAAAAGAAGTTTAGGCTTAGTCTTATTTATGTGACTCCACTTTGGCCTCGCTGCCTGCTCCATCTCTCTTTCTCTCTCTCTCTCTCTCTCTCTCTCTCTCTCACTCGGTGCATAATGGATGATGTTGACCTGCACAGTTGTCGAGCTGCCAGCGAGTGGGCGCTTGAAGAGGCCTCAGTGTGGCTGGCCAAGTGGGTGGCTGGTGGCAGGTGGCAGGTGGCAAGTGGCAAGTGGCAGGCAACATAACAACAGCAACAACAGTAAAAATGTGGAGCAGCCTGTCTACGTTGGCCACTATTCAATGGCCAATTCTGTAGATTATCGCTGCGCCAAATACAACAACAAATTATTTACCTGAGCTCTATTTGAGTGCGGCATTTCGTTTAGTTACAATTTTATGATTTAGGTTGTTTAGGTAAACTCGATTTAAACTTAAATTTTACATTAAATGGGTATAAAAGAAGCGAAATATTTTCTTTGAATTGCTATATTACTTTGCAATAAATATTATGTTTATTTTATTTATTTAAAATTTACATGAGAAAATTTGGTATAAAATATTTTTAATTTTATGCTGTCATATTTAATGATTTTTTTTTGTAGACATTAAATTTTACCACACAAAAAGATTTGATTTCGAATTTCTCTGAAATTTATTTACCTGATGAAACTTAACCCGAATTTTCTGCACGAGTTCAATTGCCCATTTAGTCGAGTTTATTTGCAAATTAATTATAAATATGCTGTGATACTTAGCTGCTGCACACTTCAGTCCATTCAGCTGTTCCACTTATTGGCGGGTATAAAGTGGCTCCGCATACCCTTGAGATAGAGTCAATAAGAAGATATACACAAAATATCTGCACAATGGCAACAATAACAGCAACAATCGACGAGCGCTGGGCAAACAAATCGTGCAGCAGCCAAAATGAGCTGCTAATTGAAGACACCTTAGAAATCATCGAAAATAAACAGAGCATAGCTGAGCAGAGCGGAGAAGAGTAGGGCAGAGCAGAGCAGAGCAGAGTAGGGCAGCGCCCGCCACTTGCAATTAGCAGAGTTGAAGGTGGGCCTACACAATGTGCAGCTGGCTGCGTCTTGTTATTATGTCATAATTAATTTACGAGCTGTGACAATTAACGAGATGAGCGGCCGATGCATCGTGACAAGGCCAGTCGCAGAGCCAAACAGGCAACAGATGTGGGTCAATGTGTTGGCCAATTTGGAGCGTACGATCGAGCTTTTCCACACGTTCACAACTTTTCCGGGCGCACGCGGCGTATGCGCAATTTTCTATCAGCTCAGCTTGAGCAAGCTCTTTGGCCCACTCAGCGCTCTGACCAATTTGCACAACTCGCACGCCATTTCGTCATAAGTGCACACACATAAATACGACTATCTACAAGATACAAATGTATCTCGTGTACTGTCTGCGGCTGTTGCTGTTGCTGTTGATGTTGCTGTTGCTGTTGCTGAAACTGACGCCGCTGGCTTTTGCTGCGAATACCACGAACGCAGCCACAAGACAAAGCGAAAAGCAACAACAAAAATCAGTTGCCGACAGTTTTTTATAAATATATATATTGAGCACAGTGGGTCAATGTCCCACTGATAAAGTGAACGCCAGTTGCTGCTGCTCCAGTTGCTGCTGGTGGCAGCTGCGACGTCGCTTGCCAAAAGGCAAATGCGATTTTAATTAATAAAATATGCTGTGTATCTCTGGTTGCACAAAAGAAATTTCACGTTTTATRTGWTTTTTGCAATTTGTTTCGTTCGCTGTGCTGAAAACTGAGCTAATGAACATTTTCATATTAAGATATTTTATTTGCAGCAACATCATTTAATTTTGCTCGCTGCCAAATTATATTTGTAGTACATATTTTCTAGTTGAGATGGCACAAGAATTTCGTAGCCCATTTGCTACAGTCGACGCGTGTGTGTGCGTGTGTGTGTCGCTGCCTAAGATTTATGCGTGTGCCAGATTTTATTGTGTGACATTTCTGGCTAAGATTTAAATTTAAATTGCTTTTAGAAACTAATAAATAGGTTGATATGTTTTCTGACGCAAAACAACCAACTGGGCTGCCATGCTCGCCGAATAACAAATTACACTAATTTTGTTTATCAGCTAATTATGCTTGTGGGTGGAAGATTTTATAAATAAAGCGATTATATTTAATATGTACGCTCAAAAGTATGCTTCAATTTTATAACACGACATATGATGGCTGCTATTCGCGTGTGGAAATTTAATGCTGCATACTTTTGCGCGCATGCAAATTACATTTTGGTGCATACTTTGCGGCTGCTTTGATTAATATTCCATTTGAATTGCAAACGTAACCGACAACTCACACTCACTCTCTCTCTCTCTCTCTCTCTCTCTCGCTTTCATTCTTGCAGCTGTGCGTTATGGTCGCGTACCGAAGCGTTCACGTGAGCTGAACGGTGCAGCAGCAGCAGCAGTCGCCGCAACTGCCTCAGCAGCCAGCGGCGCGCCTCTGAATGTGGATGAAACCAGTGCCAATAATTTGCATACAAATCTAATACAACAGCAGCAGCAGCATCAACAACAGCAGCAACAGCAGCAGCCGCATGCGAGCAGCGTGCGCGTAAATACCCCAAGTACACCACAAACGCCACAAATGTGTTCGATAGCCTCGTCGCCATCGGAGCTGGGCGGTTGCAATAGTAGTGCCAACAACAACAACAATAACAACAACAGCAGCAGCAGCAACAACAACAGCAGCAGTAATGCAACAGCTGTAGTGGTGGGCAGCCATCATCAGCAATTGGTTAACATGGGCAGCAGCAGCGATATGGCCATGACCCAGGTGGGCGTGGGCATGTGCCATCCCTCGATCGATCATCACGACGGCCTCGCCGGCACAGCCAACGAGCTGACTGTCTACGATGTGATCATGTGCGTCTCGCAGGCGCATCGACTCAACTGCTCCTACACCGAGGAGCTGACACGTGAACTGATGCGGCGACCCGTCACAGTGCCCCAGAACGGCGTAAGCATGCGAGATCTGGTAATCTGCGAAAACAACTACAACTAATCGAGTGTATGTATATTCATTGCTTTACAGATTGTCACCACCGTGGCCGAGAGTCTGGAGTTCCAAAAGATTTGGCTGTGGCAACAGTTCTCGGCGCGCGTGACGCCCGGCGTGCAGCGCATTGTGGAGTTCGCTAAACGCGTACCTGGCTTCTGTGATTTCACCCAGGACGACCAACTGATACTCATCAAGCTGGGCTTCTTCGAGGTGTGGCTAACCCATGTCGCGCGCTTGATCAACGATACGACGCTGACGCTGGACGACGGCGCCTATCTGACACGACAGCAGCTCGAGATACTCTACGATGTGAGTGTGCACTCTCCCTGTCTCTCTCTCCCCCTCTACTTATAGTCCCCTTGCCTTTCCACACCTCTAATTGAATTTATCTTTCTCACCTCTGCAGTCGGACTTTGTGAACGCCCTGCTGAACTTTGCCAACACACTGAACGCCTATGGGCTGAGCGACACAGAGATTGGTCTCTTCTCGGCCATGGTGCTGCTGGCATCGGATCGGGCGGGCCTCAGCGAGCCCAAGGTAATCGCAAGGGCGCGCGAGCTGGTGGCCGAGGCGCTGCGTGTGCAGATACTCAGATCGAGGGCCGGGTCGACGCAGGCGCTGCAGCTGATGCCGGCGCTGGAGGCTAAAATACCGGAGCTGCGCTCGCTGGGCGCCAAGCACTTCTCACACTTAGACTGGCTGCGAATGAACTGGACCAAGCTGCGTCTGCCGCCGCTCTTTGCCGAAATCTTCGACATACCCAAGGCGGACGACGAGCTGTAGAAGTTGGAGCAACGGCTCTGTGAACTGTACGTTTAGGTTATATAATATAGGCGTTAAACGACGATGAAGAAGAAGAAGAAGAACAAGATAGAGGATGCAAACAACTCTGCAAGAATTCATAATATGAAAGGACAAACGTAAACCATTCTAACAGATACAAGATACAATTTACCAGATACAAGATACAAGCTACAAGATACATAGTTAACTACAACTACAACTACAACTACGACTACAACTATAAAGTTATGCATTAAATATTTAGCAATRTTAAAGCCGTTCGCAAACATTTTTAGCCAGACATCCACACAGATACACACACCCACACCCACACACAGCTGCAATGATAGACTTTGAGATACTTTTGGTTTCCTTTGTTACTTCTGCTTGAGCTCTTAGCCGTACATCTCCCATGCGCAACATCAAGTTTTATTTATTTCATTGATCAAGCTCATCAAATCATGCACGATTATCCTAGGTAATCCTGAAACTCCACTCCCCCAACTCACTCAACCCAATTTATCTTTTCAAAAAGCAAAAACAAAACTGAACAAAAAATTAAGAAAATCTCGACTGAAGTTCGAAAAGTACTGTTTACATCTTTTTATTTAATTAATTAATAATAATTCTTATTGTATAATTAAACAACTAC